ACTTTTATTTGATTTCTTACTATTTTCACACCTGAAAATTTACTCAGTACTGGGCTGACGCGAACTCGAGATCTCAGACATCTCCAGGTTCCTAAAGTCTACCACCTAGGCTGCTGCGCTATTTCTTCAACTGATACTAAGTGCTTTTTATTATCCCCATATGCAGCCGAAGTACTAATTATAGTTTTCTTATAACATTATTTAGTACAATCACAAAATGAACTATTTGTACTTGAAATATTTCATAGAATAAAAGAGAAGTCAGAAATATATGCATAAAATATTTATGTAAAATATATTTACCTAGATGTTGAAATTACAAAACATTACAATTAGAAAAATATTTGAAAAAATATGTTTAAAACGTAAAAAATAATAGGATAAGTTTTCTTTTCTTCATTAAAAAGACGTTTTTTAAATGTTTTTTGACGTTTGGAAAAATGTTTTGATTTTTAATATTGAATAAATATTTATTTTAACATTTAGAAAATATTTTCTAAATGTTAAATGTTAACATTTAGAAAAATGTTTTTAAATGTAAAAATAAATGTTTATTAAATATTAAAAAACAAAACAATCTTCCAAACGTTAAAAAACGTTATTTTAATGAAAAAAGAGAACTTGACCCATTATCTTTAATGTTTTAATGTCTCTTCAAATTAAAAAAAAATGTTTTTTTAAATATTGTTTGTTCATTGGGTAACAAAAATAATTAGTAAATAAGTAAAATATATTATATTTGCAATATTTTTTAAATATTGCTGTAATATTGCTAAAGTAATATTTCAAATTAATGTCACTACAATGTCTCTGCAACATTGCATTGCAATATGCAATGTTGCAACGTTGTAACAATATTGCTGCAAGCTTCTGTGCTGTATGGGATAGTAACACTGAAAATAATAGTCTGAATGAAAGTCAGGATATATGTATTTCGATATATTTTTAAAAAAACATTTTTTTAGTTACCCATTAATACATTATTTCATCAATCACATGTAAAGCAAGTACGTTATTATCTTCCCAGAAAATTCAAAAAGAATTCAGTCGTATATCAGCAATTTTGAATTCATTTTTAAATGCAAAAAGAATTCTTTTCACTGAACTGACTTTGAAGAATTCTTTTTGCATCTGAAAATGAACTCAGAATTGTGACATACGACTGAATTATTTTTGAATTTTTTTTGAGTTCTCTGTGCTATCTAGGTTAACATTTGTGTACAGCATATACAATTCATATGTACTAAATTTGACTAACATACATTTTTTTAATACAAATAATTTCTATTTAGGTTAATTATTATCCGACCTTACGTTGGGCCAGCATATAGAGGTAACTGTTGTTCGTACAAATAAAACTCTGGGATTTATTTAGATTTATTTATTTTAATTATTTACTGTTCGGGGTTAACATCAAAACTTGTCGGTTGGCACCGAAACATTTGAAGATCTAATCTAAAAGATTGAATGTCAACAAAAATTGGGAATGAGCATTAAAGCTTGGGGATTGACATCGTATCGTTTACCCTGAAAATTTCACGGTCAACACTACTCATTGAGAGTCAACACCAAAACTTGGGGGTTGACACCGAATCATTTAGGTCGACTCTGAAAGTTTGAGTGTTTACCCCCAACTTTTGAGGGTTAACACCTAACTTTTGTGGTCAACCTTCAAATTTGGTGGTCAACCCACAAATTTCAGGGTTAACTCTCAAAGGGGGATTTTTCTTAAGGATAAGCAACAGACTTATAATCCAGAGATACCTCATGGTTTAAATTCGAGTTCCAGTGCCAGTGAGAATTTTTAAATGTAATGTAACATTGGAATCAAGTAATTAAAATTTTCAAATAAAATCAGCAAACGCTGTGAAATTTACAAGTAGTTTCTGTTAGAAAATAGAACCAAATAAGGATATTCCGACACGTAATTTTTACATCTCTTATGACGTCATTTTCACGTTTTATTTTGTCGGTGGGCTGACTTATTCCGGTCATTTTCACATCATTATTACATGATTATAAAGGAATAATTGACGTCACGAATGACCAAAGACTGACGTGAAAATCACGTCACGTTGCTGTATGGGATAGTAACAAGTTACTTTTTTGTATTTAGCTACTAGCTAATGTTTCTGTTACAGCTACTAGAAGAAATGAGCGTTATTGATATATAATGAGCCTACTTTTTGCTAATGGGTAGTTACGATTTTTCGTCTTATGACAGTGTACTATTTTCTGTATAGCTACTAGCTAATTTTTCTAGTACAGCAATTAGGAGAAGTGAGCGTTATATTCCTAGCTAGTACCTAACTAGTACTATTAGCTAGCAACGATGTAAGACTCAACTTTTCTGTGTCATTACTAGACAATCACTACATTTAATTTTTGTTCGAGTTAATAATCACTCAATCACTATTGATTGGTTAACTAATATGTCTTGATCATTCAGACGACTCACTTCGGAACATCAACTTGAAAATTTTTCCTTATTTTTAATTTAAAATGGCCGAGCTTTCTGAACGTGAGTGAATATTTTTATTGATGATGAGAGAATGGGGTGATCAGCAAAGGGGTGCGACTATAACAAGTCGTGCGACTATTCAATGAAATTTTCCGCAATGAAATTATAGAATCTCAAAGACTACTGTAGTGCATACTATCCAACGTTTTGAGGAAAATAGTAGTGTTAGAAACCATCCAAAATCTGGTAGACCTGCTACAGCAACAAACGAAAATAAAGCATTGGATATTTTACTGTCTTTTGTCGAAGACCCGCATACTTCTATAAATCGCGTTACACAACAACACGAAATTGAAACTGCATCTGTTCACAAGATCCTCTAAAAAATAAATGGCATTTGTACAAACTCCATTTGGTCCAAGAATTATCTGAAGATGATTTTGATGACGCGTGCAGTTTTGCGACCTTATAATGGAACTGATCATTGATGACATTTTATTCTTTGATACTATTGTTTTCTCCGATGAGGCTACATTTGAAATGACTGGAAATGTAAATAGATATAACTGTAGATACTGGAGCAATATTAACCCTCGCTGGATGAGAAAAAATCATACTCAGCACCTACAAAAAGTTAATGTGTGGACTGGTATTTTCCGGAGTTACCAGTCGGTCCTCTCTTCATAGAAGGCAATTTAACAGTTCAAATGTACGAAGCTATGCTTTGGGAACAAATTATACAAGAAATAGCTAGTCAAAACTTAGATAACATTTATTTCCAGCAGGATGGAGCTTCTCCTCATTACGGTGTTGATGTACGTCAATATTTGGATGAGATTTTTCCTGATAGGTGGATAAAGCGAAGAGATCACTTTGAGTGGCCGCCTTCATCTCCGGACTTGAATCCCCTTGACTATTTTATTTAGGGATATTTGAAAAATAAGATTTACATCACCAAGTCTCAAGATTGAGATGATTTGCGACAAAGGATAGTTCATGAGATAAATCTTATATCACAACTAATTTACAGGAATACGGTTTCAGGTTTTTATAAGAGATTAGTACATTGGCAGGCAGTTCAAGACCAACAATTTGAACATTTAATATGAGTTATTTTGGTGACATATTAGACTGCCTTAACTTGCCGTGTCTACAACCGATTTTACCTTAGCTGGCCAGGTCTGCGACTAACCTTGCCTTAGCTAGCCGAGTTTGCGACCGGTTTTGCTTTAGCTGGCTGGGACTGCGACCGATTTTACTTTAGCTGGCCAGGTCTACGATCTTACCTTAGCTGGCTGAATCTGTACCCAAATCGACCTCAAGATCAAGTTCGAAGTCAAGTTCAAGATCACCAAAGATAGTCTTTCATGACCCCTACAACTTTTATTTGGGTCATTTTTCTTGATACCGCCCTCCACTGCATATTTTGTGACTGTCACTAATTTAATCTCATAGGGGTCACTTTGACCACTGACATGACAACGTATCTGAACATAAAAATTTGCCGCCCTTTCCAAATCCGGGGTCAAGAAAGGGGATTTCGTACAACTCATGCTAACAGTAACAGTTAAATGCTAATAGTACGCTAACCATAGAGCAGTGCAGCAGTGCAGAGCGAAAGAACAGACTTCATATTTGCACGAAATTTGCTGGTGTATATAGGGTAATACATAGATAATAAAATTAATAGAGTAATAATCTAGAAATTTACGTGCACAGCTAAACATATTTTAGAAATAAAGCGTAGATAAATCTCATACAAGGTTTGTACCCTACTGAAAAATTTCTATTGAGATCACAATTGAATTCCCAATTGAATTCTCAATTAAATTCTCAATTGAATTCTCAGTTGAGGTTTCCGCAAAATTTCGCATGTAAGATCTCAATTGAGATATTTGTATCTGATGGAAATAATTCATTGAAAATATAATGAACTTTTGCTGAAATATGTTTGAAAAGCATTCACAATTTTGACCCAATTTCATTAAAATTTCATTATAATTTCATTAATATTTCGATAATATTTTATTAAGAGAGTAGAAAAATTCAGTGAAAAATTATTATTAATTAAAATATTTAGAAAAGTAT